TTTAAAGTCCACGATTTATATTCATCTTGTTAAACCTTCTCTTCTTTTTTTTCTCTCTTTATCACTTATTTCCGCTCTTGTGTCTGTTTAAATTCCACAAGAGTAGTACTGGGTCGTCTTCTTCGTCTTGAGGAGAGCAGTGGCTTCGTCTTGTGTGTTTATGATTGTCCTTCAGGATATTAGTATTGTGAGAATATTTGTATATTTAGGTGATGTTAGGAAACAAACACACACCACACAATATATTATGTATATGTATAGGTATATATATGTATATAAATGTAAACGTCGAAACCGTCGTAACTCAGACCCTCCTGTACGTGTGTGTGTGTATATATATATATATATATATATATATAATATATATATATATATATATATATAATGTGTGTGTGTGGTGTGTGTGTGTGTGTGTGTGTGTGTGTGTGTGTGTGTGTGTGTACACATGCATATATATAATATATATATATATATATATACATATATATATATATATATATATATATATATATATATATATATAATATATATATATACATACATACATACATATATATATATATATATATATATATATATAATATATATATATATATATATATAATGTGTATATATATGCATATATATATATGTATATATGCATATGTATGTGTGTGTCTCAGTATGTGTTTTGTATATGTATGTGTATATATATATATATATATATATATATATATATATATATATATATATATATGTGGGGGAGGGGTAAATTTTTCATATATAAATTTACTTTTTTTTATTCTTCAACTAGCTTCTAGAAGCGTGGGACTCTGCTGGGACACCTTGCCCCATCAACGTATATTAATGCGTTATTTACTTTACCGTTAAATATCTGTGGTATTGATATATTTGTCTGATTAATTTTCCAACATGACTTTCTAGTCACCATCCGGGTTTTGATTTAAACAAGGAGACACCCCGAAAAAAAAAAAAAAATGTATCATGATCTCTGCTGGTAGCATAACCTGACGTAGTTTAAGGCTCGTGGGTGTGGGATTGAATTCATTCCTCTGTTAAGTGTGTGCCAAATTTTAACGGTCATGAAAACATTTGTAACACTTAATATTTTCTTCAATAACTGAACAATGAACAAATGGCATATGATTCCGTAAATCTCAGCAATACACAAAAATTAAAATAAGTAATATTCTCAATTAATTCAATTCATATCTAAGGTTAATTCTATATACCCTCCCTTTTCCTATTAATTAGAAATCAATGACATTTTAATAAACATAATAAAAATATATGTGAGACGAATTCGAGACCCATTAACCGTGTTCTTTCCATGATTTTACCTAGGACATGAGCCGATAATTTCCCTTCCTTTCATCTTTATAAATTTCCTCTCTTATACTTTGCTCTAATACAGGGGTCAGCAACCTTTTGAGCATAGTGTGCCAGTAAATAATCAATGCCTTCTTATTGATAACCTTGTGTGCCAGTTCTTTTTTTTTTTTAGCACTGTATACCCAAATGTATTTTCCTGCACAAGCATAACATATAATATGTTTGTAGCATTTAGTATTATTTGTAACACAAAAATATGTTTTATCCTTTTAGATTTATCCTCTGCACAAGCATAATTTTGTAGCATTTAGTATTCTTTGTAACACAAAAATATGGTTTATCCTTTTAGATTTATCCTCACCGCATTAATATCTAGACATACTAAGCTTCAAACAACCCTCAGATTGATCCGTTTTAAGCCTGCTGTGACAGGGGCTGAAGGTATGCTGCATGTATGAAAAATCTGGATCTTTTTAGCTCTTTTGAGAAGCCGGTCCCAGTAATATAACGGTCGTTCGGAGTGTCGGAACGTCGGCGTTCGAAGCTCGGTCGTTTAAAGCACGAAACTGGTCGAACCGCAATTTTAAGGTACGCTTAAGGACGTTATCTGGGACCATGGAGTGCAGCGTCTCGGATAATGGAGACAAATACATGTATTGATATAAAATTTTAGATGTATTATTGATGAGATAATGCATATTGAATGTGTGCATTGTGTTGGATAACCTAATATGCAATTGGCACTCAGTAGATAATGAAGGTAATAGAAACCAAACTAGAACACGATGAAAGATGTGGAAGAACAATGGTCTTGGACGTTAAGGTACTGTGCTATATGAAGCGATCAGTAAACAGTATTTGATATCACCTGATGCAGTTGCTTGTGATGCCATCATCTGCAACTTTGTGAAGTGTTCACTCGATCTGACAAGAAATGTTTTTGCTTTTATTACGTTAGACAACTTATACCCGTCTCATGTGGATGGTATAGTTCGTCATATCGAATACACAGGAACAGTGAGTATAGACTATAGTAGGCCTATATTGTCTAAATCTTTATAAAAGAAGAAGAAAAAAGAATAAACAAGATATGATTGTGTAAGGCAGATATAAATACTTCCTTTGGTATTTAATCCTACTAAAACCCATCTCGATATTAAAGGCCAGAGGGAATTCAATATCTTTCATGATTACTGTTACTGTTTATATTGATATCTTTAAGTTGATTGAGTACGTCTTATCGCTCCCTGTGTGTCTGGGGTGTTATCGTTAATCAGCCTTATGGGTGGTCATGTTTACGATAAAAATTGCGGTATCTATGGGGTCTGTGTACCATAGTGTTTAATGTTAGACACACACACACAATCCACACACCACACACACACACACTCTCTCTCTCTCTCTCTCTCTCTCTCCTCTCTCTCTCTCTCTCTCTCTCTCTCTCTCTCTCTCTCACACACACACACACACACGCACACACACGCACACGCACACGCACACGCACACGCACACACACCACACACACACACACACACACACACACACACACACACACACACACACACACAACACACACACACACACACACACACACATGTAGGCCTATTAAGACCAACATTTCAATATATCGTAAAACTTTCCGGAGTTTCCGATTTCTATCACGTGCAATGTGTCTATACCATTATCCGACTTGGTTAACGTGTAATTATCGAGTTACCACCCTCTTCCCCGTTCGCAAATTGTCTCCTTGGCCCTGACCTCTCCCGGCTGTTCTCTCTCCCTCTCCTCCTCCCCTGCCTCTCCTGGCTGTTCTCTCTACCTCTCTTTCGCTCCGTTTCTCTCTCGACTTCTCTCTCCCTTCCTCTCCCCTTCCTTTCCTGGCTGTTCTCTCTTCTCTCCTCCGCCTTCCTTTCCCGGCCTCTCTTCCTCTCTTTCGCCCGTTTCTCTCTCGATCCTCTCCTCCACCCCTCTCTCCCGGCTGTCTATCTTTCTCTCCTCCGCCCCTTCCTTTCCTGGCTGTTCTCTCTTCCTCTCCTCCGCCCCTTCCTCCTGATATTCTCTCTTTCTTTCCTGGCTGTTCTCTCTTCCTCTCCTCCGCCCCTTCCTTTCCTGGATATTCTCTCTTCCTCTCTTTCGCCCCTTCCACCTCTCTCGTCTTTCTTTACCTGCTTTCGTGTGCTTTTATCAGCTTGTTATATATATTTATTTATGGATTATGGACGGGGGAAAAAGCTCAGTGGATTTTTAGAAGGACGGGACAAAAGAGAATGCGGGTAAGATGGGAGAGAGAGAGAGGAGGAAAGAGAAGGAGAGGGAGAGGGAAGAGAGAGAGTGGGGAGAAGTTGGAGAGAAAATGGTTAGGGAGGGAGAAGGAAAGAGGAAGGGGAACGCGAGGGAATGGCGAGGGAGAAAACGAAGGGAAGGAAGAAGGATTAGGATAAAGGGAGAAATGTAGAGAGGTATTGGGAAGGGTGAAGTAGTATGAAGGAAAGGGAAAAGTGAAAGGAAGAGAGTTTGTCATTTTTCTCTCTTCCCCCACCTCTGTCTCTCATCATCTCCCTATATCCCTCTCTGTCTTTCTCTCTCCCTCCCTCCCTCCCCTCTCTCTCTTTCTTCTCCATATCTCCCTCTCCCTCCCTTCCTCCCTCCCCCCCTCTCTCTTCTCTCTCTTTCTTCTTTGTCCTCTCCCCCTTCCCCTCTTCCCCCCCTTCTCTCTCTCTCTCTCTCTCTCTCTCTCTCTCTCTCTCCTTCTCTCTCTCCCTCTCTCTCTCTTCTCTCTCTTCTCTCTCCTCTCTCTCCTCTCTCTCTCTCTCTCTCTCTTCTCTCTCTCTCTCTCTCTCGTCTCTCTCTCCTCTCTCTCTCTCTCTTCTCTCTCTCCCCCCTCCTCTCTCTCTCTTTCTCTTCTCTCTCTCTCTCCCTCCTCCCCTCCTCCCTCTCTCTCTCTCTCTCTCTTCGCTCTCCTTTTCCATTTCTCTCCCACCCTCCTTGTACATGAGCGCACCTCTCGAGGGGAAAATGCAAACACACACACAAAAAAAAAAAAAAAAAACGCAAAACAAGATTAGAAAAAAATGTTTATTCCGCTACAGAGCAGAATACGTTTCATTATTATTATTACTTTTATCATTATTATTATTATTATTATATTATCATTATCATTGCCATTATTATTTATTATTGCCATTATTGTTATTGATTTTATTATCGCTTTATATTTTATTACTATATCATTAATATTGAACATCATTATTGCTGTTATTAATATTATTATTATTATAGCCATTATTGTTATTGATTTTATCATCGCTCCATCATTATTCCTATTATCATTAATATTACTATCATTATTACTGTTATTATTTTTATTATTATCATCATCACCATCATCATCATCCATATCTTATCCTTATCATTCGTCCCCACTTTCATAAACCTCACTTTCAGAGAGAAGGGGGTTATGAGAGTGAAATTAAATTACTTCTAGTGTTAATAGATAGAGTGCACGGGTGGGCAGGTGTCACTTCACCTTTAACAGCGTTCGAGAATTTAGTGTTTATCTGCCATGTGTTTTCTCTGGAAGCTTGGAAAGTTGGTTATCGTTTTATTTATTTTTTTTTTTTTTATGTTTGTTATTTTGTTTGTTTAAGCGTTTTTTATGTTGTTATTTTGTTTGTTTAAGCGTTGTTTTTATTTTGTTTGTTTAAGGTGGGGTAAGGGAGGTGATGTTTGGATATAATGTGGATAGTTTTTTTTTTTTTTTAGATTCCCTGATTATGATGTAAAAATATTGCGTATGATGATAATGATAAAAATGAATAGATTGATAAATAAATATTGATGATTAATTCTTAATCATATACTATTTCTTCTCCAGACTCTTCTACCTGAAAATTCGAAATTCCATAAAAAAAGGAAAAGAAAAACAAAACCCAAGAGAGAAGAAAAAGAAACAAAGAAAAAAAACAGTCAGGGCTTAAAAAAGAAAAAAAAAGAAGAAAAGAAAAGGAAAACAGGGCTTAAAAAATAAATCAAAGAAAATGGGCCTCGTGACGCGGTATCTCCTCCCTTTCGCGGAGGATCACCTACTGCAGATTTTGCTCGCTTGCCTCGTCGTCGCAGGAATCCACCGACTCCTTCGACGCATGCGCACTACGGTTCGGCGCGCAGACATGGATCCTCTGCCGGCGTCTGCGAGGGATGCTGAATCCAAAGCGGAGAAAGGGAGCAGAAATGTAATTGGTGAGTGATTCTTTTAAGACTTAAGGGAGGGAGAGGGGTGATTCTTCCATGGTTCTTTTGTTTGTTTTTTCTGTTTGTTTGTTGTTTTGTTTTGTTTTGTTTGGGGAGATGGTGGTGTGAATGATGGTGTGTCAGTAGTGATGATTATGATGGCTATGCTGGTGTAATAATAATGATAATAATGATGGTAACGATGAAAGTAATTACGATAATGATAGCAATACTGACAATGATAATGATAGTAATGTCAGTGATAATAATGAATATTTTATTTGATATCAAAACCATTAATATACTTTTGCTGCAAATTGTGCTACTATTGACTGATAGTGATGTAGATGATAATAGCCTTAATCACTACGTTTTGTCTTCTTTTATATATATATGAAGAGAAAGGCAGGCAGACAGAGGAAGATAAATTTATAGATAAAGAGAGAAATAGAAGCATGCATTTAAACAGAGAGCGAGAAGAGAAAAAGAGAGAGAATGCAACAGGAACAACGAAGGGAAGGACAAGAAAACACACGAATATGCATATATTCGTGTGTTTTCTTGCCCTTCCCTTCGTTGTTCCTGTTGCAATCTGTTCACCATGAATTCCACAGAAAAGAGGGAGAAGAAAGAGAGAAAGTTGACAGCCAGCCAAACAGAGAGAGAAAAATATGAAAGTAAATGTGAATCTTATAATAAGAATCCCGTAATGATAAATCTTTAACAACGACATCAACCACAACTATAAAACGACGGTTAATAAGGTTAATTTTCCTTCCTCCGCTCAACACCTTTTGCCGCAAGTAACCACAATAAAACTCCAAAGAAGGATATCTATAATAAGAAAGCGATCTGAGGCGGATACTGTAAACCCAAGTTCATATATAACCTTTACAATTTAGCTAAAGGACAACAAAGGGGCTTTTGTCTTCTCTCAAGAAAGGTGTTCGATGCTTGCACTTTGTCTTTGGTTTCTGTTTCCGTCTCTCCATTTGTTTTTATCTGTTTCTCTTATCATTGCATTAAGACACTCAGTAACTAACACTTTTTCAAAATTCATATTATAATTCTAATATGTATTGCACTTTGTCGTCAGCGTTTATATTGTAAACTACTGAGTACATCATTTTAAATATAAATTATGACCGATAAATATTACAATCTACATTTGATGGTTACACAATCCGGATCATGCAAAAAAAGGTTGCCATGGAATATACATTATTAGCATCATGGTTATGATTATATACATAAACACAAAACACGCAGACGCTAGTTGCAGTGAACTTATTTCCTTGGCTCTTGACTTGTACGTTTGACGGTTGGAGGAGGAAAATAGATTTTTTTATTTCTTTTTTTTTTCGTCACAATAAGAATAATGGTGAACACTAAACAAATGCAGGTGAATACATTGTAAAATAGAAAAAATATACATTTCTATTGACAACAACTATCAAACGTATGTAGGTTGTAATATTTCTCAAATATAACAGAACTATCCAAAATTTGGTAAAATGGTGTACTCTCTCTCTTTCTCTCCCCCCCCCCCCCTCTCTCTCTCTCCTCTCTTCTCTCTCTCTCTCTCTCTCTCTCTCTCTCTCTCTCTCTCTCTCTCTCTCTCTCTCTCTCTCTCTCTCTCTCTGGCGTCCCTCCACACCTTTCCTCTCCCTTCTTTTTTAATCTTTCTCTCTCTTTCGGTGTCACCCTCACCACCCCTTTTTATCACCCTCCCCTAGCTTTTCCCTTTTCCTTCCTCCCTTTTTCATCCAATACCCTTCCCCCCTCCTCTCCTTCCCCTCCATTCGACCCTCCTATTCTCCCTCTTTTCTCCCCCACTTACCTCTTTTCCCCATCCCCCTTCCTTTCCCTTCCCTTCACCTCGCTTTCCCCTTCCTCCCTCCCTTCCCTTCCTCCTTCCTTCCTTTCCCCTTTCCCCTC